ATCATTGCAAGCTGGTTTTCAATTCGGTGAAGTTTTTCAGCTGTTGGTATTTGTCACACTTGTTTAATAACAACTTTAATTGCATTATTGGAAATGTGGTAAGCATGAAGAGGCAGGAGAATAGGAAAAGTGGAAAAATTAACACAGTGGATGCACAGCTTGTGAGAAGCTTCCACAGAGAAATGGAGAGGAGCTATAGCCTGGAGTATTGGAAGAATGAAAGGACTCTCCATCCCACTGTCTTCCAGCACATGCCTGCAGAAAATGAGAAGCAAGCTTACTTAAAGTTAAGAAGAGGACTGGGACAAGATGAGTGAGGGGGGGAAAGAACCTGAAGGAGGTACCAAAGTGCAAGCAAGCAGCAGCAGTGATTGTCAGCATAGAAACTCAAACCCACACATGCTGCATCTTGCCATGCCAATAGTTTGGTGGGCTGCTCTGGTATTAACCCCATTCCTGTGTCCTCTTGCCTATCTTTCAGCCAAGCATCTCAAGTTACTTGGTATGTTAGTCCAGCAAAGGACAGTCTCATACATGACAGCTTTAAGTTTTTTCAGACAAAGTGGATCCTTGCTTAGGGGACCAGACAATTGAATTGGTCGTGTAAGAAAGAAGCCCTGAAGGACTGATTTGAATAGTATTGGATAAGTATTGATGATTTTGTCCTCTTTATAAAGCAGTTTCCAAATGAAATGCTTAATTTTTTAAATTGGTTTATTCTTTAATTACATTGTTAATTATATCAGAGTATTCTCTGTCATCACTAAGTGTGATAATCCAAATGCAGGACATACTGTTCCTGGACCAATAATGCAGATTTTTTTTCTTACAGGATAGATTTGAACTTTGAGTGTCTTCTACCAAGTATGAATCATAGAGCTTAGAGTTGGGATGCACTGAAAGATTTGAGTAGTGATGCCAGGTGCAGAAAGTATGAAAGATATGTTTGCTTTGTGATGTCTCAGGCACTGCACATTTTAACAAGCAGCAAGGGATGTGAAAATAACTTGGTGGCTTAACCTTGCATGTACCTGAGACTATTGTCCAAAGGCTTCTTGAGCTCTCTCAGGCTTGGTGCTGTGATCACTTCTCTGGAACAGGCTCCTGGTGTGACTCCTGGGGATGGTCCTCTGCAGGGCTGGGAGCTGGACTCAGTGATCCTTGTGGGTACCTTCCAACTCAACATACTCTGTGATCTCTGCAGCCACAGTCTTCCCTTAATAGAATGGATTTAGGCTTCTACTCTGTCTGACTTGCCTCTGGCTTGAAATAGGTCATCGTCTTTATTGCATTGTAAGGGAGTGCTTATTTGCAAAATTAATGCACAATTATCCACAATAGGCAGATTCAAGTTGATATATTCCAGTATATCTGGAATATTTCCAGTTGTCTGGCTGCCTGTGTCTGTGTTAGCCTGCGTCAGCTTCCTTGTGTCAGCAGCACTAAAAGGAGAATCAAATCTAATCTCTTGTGATAGAGAATAACCTTAACCTAATGCTACAAGATAGGCCAGAAACATTTATTTGTTGCTTTTTTTGGAAAAATGATATGGTTATCCAAGCTGTAAAGGATTCATTACATTTTCATGGAACTCCAGTTTAAACAGTTTCTCAAATCCCCATTCTGTTCCCTGTGGAAAGGGACCAGACTTGCATGTGGGCAGTAGTGGATGCACTGCAGGTTTACTTAAAAATGCATTAAGATTTCCAGCAACTGTTTCTGAGGCCGGCATCAACTTCAGTATTTCTGTGAGGTACTAGACAGTTGTGGTTTTATGGTTTCCTACAGGTGTGGGTTTCATAAATATAGTGGAGTGCTCATAAAAATAAGAAAAAAATAGGTCTGTTTTTCTTAATAACTTTCAGGCAGTTTTCTTTTACTTCTAAAAAAGTGTGAATAAAGAGTGGATAAAGAGATGACTTTAATCTTTAAAAACTTGGGTTTACTTTGTGTTGTAGGAACAAGCTCTTTGGTCTGGAACTGATTGATAAAAGGATTCCATATGCCATGTTTTTTGGTGGAATGTATGTGCTTATGGGCAATGAGACCCTTGCTAGGCTATTTTTGCACATTTGGGCTTTATTTGGACATTTTAAAGAAACCTGTATATCTGTGGGTGCTGCTGAACTCCAGAAATTTAATTCTGGATAACTCAGTGTTTCAGAGTGTTTTGCACAGTGAGGATGGGGCTCTATCTTGGCTCAAGGTCTGCAAGGCTGGGCTGTGCTCATGACACAAAAACTAAGCTGAGTTGTCTGAACAAGCAAGTCTGCAAGGAGGAAAGATGGGCTGGAGTTGCTGGCTGTGAAAATGCAGCAGGGATGGTGGAGCTTTTGTGAGGCAAAAGCTGTGGGTGCAGTGCTGGGCAGAAGAAGATTTTTCTGAGTCATGTGAGGTCACTTGTTCTGAGTTCCAGTGAGGAAAAGACTTGAGTTCCTTCAATTGAGTTGAAGTAGCAATAGATCTTGCATTGTAGGATGCAGTATACCTGCTCAGGGATTCATTCTCAAGCCAGTTGCTTAAGGATATCTCTGGACTACAAAAAATTCTTAGTGTATTCACAGATGCAGGAAGCCAGAAGGTAAATTTTTTCTAAGTAAATAGAAGTACAAGTTGCCACTTAGAAGGAAATTGTGAAGCTTGGAAATTTGTTATGGCATATGTGTTCTTGGGCTAGAATATGCTAGTCAATACTAGATTTGTGAAAGTTCTCATCTTGTCAGAAGACTTGATTAATATGGCACACAAAATAGCTTTTCCATCTCTATGAGCAGCAAGTAATTATTTGTTGCTATGGCTGACTTTAATTAATTTCCTTCTGCTTTCAGTGTACTTTCAATTGTATGAGGAGCCTTTTGAAGATTATAGAAATCTATATTAAGTTTGCCTGTAAGGTTCAGTTGTGGAAAGGCTCTTGGTTTACTGCACAGATATATACTAGGTAATTTAGGGCAATGTTTTCGGTTCCTCTGAGAAATTTTGTCCTCTATTAGGCTGTAATTTCAGCTTCTTCAGGTGAAGATATTTTTATTGTAGGCCAGCAGCTGGCAGCAAGTTTAAAATTTTTTTCATCAATCATAGAATCACAGAATTTGGGTTGGTTGGTTTGGGTTGGAAGGGACCTTAAAGATCATCTTGCTTCAACTGCCCTGTCACGGCCAGGGGACCTTCCACTATCCCAGGCTGCTCAAAGCCCTGTCCAGCCTGGCCTCGAACACTGTCAGGGATGGGGCACCCACAGTTTTGCTAGGCAGCCTAAATGAGTCAGGTTCCACCTGTCATGATACTAACTTTGCAGGAACATCTCTGCCCTTGCTGGAGCCTATTTGATTCTCTTGCCAACATTTCCAAAATAACATACTTCCATTATGCATATTGCTGGTGATGTTATATTAATTATTTAGTATCTATATTGTCAGAGAAGAGACAAGAACAGGTTAATTGATAAGGTGTTGATTCATGCTTGTTCTTTTCACCAGGGATACAGCTAGTCCTTGCCATCCTAGGAAAAACTAACCAAGTACAGAAAACCTTCTCTTTACTGCTGGTTGGCAGTCCTAGGTTCACTGATAAATGATTGCAAGTTGACTCCCACCATTGCCTCAAGGGAATTTACATACAGAATACTTGAGTAGCACATTCTTTGGTATCCCCCCACTCTCACTCTTTGTAGTTTGGTTTGCTTGTTCCTGAGCAAACTATTTTTGCTCAACTGCAGCTTCTTGATGAAGTCTTTGTTCTGGTATCTGTTCAAAAAATTGGGCTAGAAGCAAATCAGTCATTAGTTTACTTCAGGAAATTGTTGGCAGATAGCTGATAGCTAAAAATAGAATGGGTGAATAAGGTGATGTGCAAAGTGCAAGTTCAGTATTTTAGAGTTTGTTTGTTTGTGAGCTTCTCAGTTCATGTATTAAATCTTGTTTTGATCTATCTTAGATTGCATCCTATTATTGGTGCCTACTGAGGAATGTGAAATTATTTGCATGGTTTTTTTGCAGAGGTAGGTTGTCACAATTTGTAAGTTGAGACCTGATCTTGAGACTATGTATTGTATATTATAATCCATGGAGTAGAAAAAAGATGAACTGGAAAAGGTAACAGGAATCTTTCAACTGTCTTTGGAAGAAGTACCCTGGGGATGCTTTTTAGAGCATCTTGTCTCTGAAAACTTGATTAAATAATTTTTTTTCTGATAAGTAAAAAGTCTGAATAACACTGTGTATGGAGAAGCAATTCTCCTTTCCCTCATCTTCTACTATAAATTTCTGATTTTGCTTGGACTTGCTTCTTACATCAGCTTAGCATTATTGCTTTAAAAGGTTGAGTTTTGTGCTTTGCTGCCTTTTTTAGGTAAACATTCAGATTCATAATACTGTTCACCTACAGTAGTGTCCAAGTCCTAAAGTGAACTTTGTCCAGTTGTGAGGAATGAGTAGCAGCACGAGTTTCACAGGTACAGTGCTGTAGGTCATCTCTGTGCACAGGAGGTAAATGTCTTTTTCAGGTCATGTCCAAGGTCTGTAGCTTGCAGGGTAGACTAAATATGGAAGTCAAGACATAGAAGGTGCTCTTTAAAATCAAGACATCCTATTGCCATGTAAATAGAACTCTAGGTCTGGGTTTGTGAGAATTGTTAGACATTGCAAAGGTTTAATAGAAAAACTCCTTCACTCAATTTTGTAGTGCTGCAGAAATGGGTTTGCAAAGTCTTGCAAGGAAAATACTTAGTATGATGGATGAACAAGAAAAATAAGCCATTCTTAGAAGTTGTTTATTCAGTGGGTCCTGAATTTTAAGACTAAATACAAGTTTTTTCTGTTTATTTCAGAAGCAAACTATTACTGACACTGAATGAACAGGATAGCCTTTTGCACCCACTTACTGATAATTAATTTTTTTCATTATGTTCTTCTGTTACTAAATATTGAGAGATTGTTATTTTCTTCTAGCACAGATTCTGTAGGCGTCCTTTGACTGAAAATTTGAATTTTCTATTCTAGGTGTGGAACATCAAGCAGATGATTAAATTGACACAAGAACATATAGAAGCACTGCTAGACAAATTTGGAGGAGAGCATAACCCACCATCAATATATTTAGAGGTAAGTTTGCATTCAAACAAATGTGACAGAATTAATGTTGTGTTATCTTAATCTCATGTGAAACATCAGAGGTTAAAAATGGGAATACCTGTAGTAAAAGGGAATATTCTCCTTGTGCATTGCAAACTGAACTTTCTTCTAAGAGTTAGAGAGGAACTGTATGGAATTCCTGGGATCCAGTAGGGGAAGATCAGTGGCACGGTGTAATAATAATGTTGGTGCAATAGAAATGTCAAGCCTCTTTGTTGGGGCCAGGGCAGAGAAGATTGTGTTTATAATGGAGCAAGTCATGCTCTGTTAAAAGCCAATATATACACATGAAAACATTTACTAAGACTAACTTTGCCTTTGAAGCAGCTGACTTCCCTTTTTTGTCTTTGAAAAACAGTCATGTATAATTGAAAAAATTGCATTAGTAGAAGGGGACTTCTTACAGAAATACATAAAATTGTGGGGTGGAGTAAAATTTTTAATTTGTTAAGTAACTACAACTTCTGTCTGTATTTTTTCATCACTCCAGATTCATAGAGTTGTGTTGACATAGGGCCATTAAGAGCTTAAAGAGCTGCATGCCAAAGTTACCTCTATTAGGAATTGAGCAGGTGTCATGTGCTTCAATTCTGCCCTTTTTGTGCTTCTCACAAGTATTGAAATAACTGGAGGTCAACTAGATTGCTTTTGTAGTCCTTTTATTTGTAATTGCTGCCTAAAGGTACTGGGTGATTAAAAATAAAGATCTCATTATTTCAGGTACTTCTAAGCTTTTATCTTAATGTGTCAGAGCAGGGCACTAGGTTGATTATACAAACGTTGACATTTTGTCCTTAACAGTTAAGGTCAAATGAGGCCCTCGGTAGTTGCTTTGCTTATTGCTAATGTGAAATGGGAGTATTGAATCAGTGCTATTATGATTTATCCACTCTGCTATGTTTAAACACACCTCTGTTTTCACAAGGACCTGTTCATTCCATATGTCTGGATTTATTATTGCCACATGCAAGTGGGTTTTGTTAGATTGTGTATCAAACCACAATAATAATGAACTTAGTATAGACTAAGTCTGGATTTAAGGTAGGGAAGTTGTTAGTTCATCACAGCTTTTTGTCACTTGCTTTTATTGAAACTAAAACCAAGATCCATTACTGGAAGCTCTGTATTTGTTCTGTAGGAACAAACATTGGTAGGGAAAAGTGCATTTGTAGTGATAAGTAGGTACTGGGAAATTATTATGACAGCATGAAGAGTAGGTCTGAAATAGCTGGTGACCATAAACAATAAAGCTGAAAGCAGATTTGCAACTTCAGTGGATCCATGTGCCACTGAGATGAAGCTCCAGCTGTGGCAGGGCAGCCCTGTGAGACAAAGCAGGGCATTCCTCTGCTGCACTGAGTTCCCCTGGATCATCAGCACTTGGGACAGATTAGGGAGCCACAAGCCTTTGGGAGGAAGGTGAAAGGGGCTGCCATTGTGTTTTTGCAGTTGTTAACCCGTGAGACAGTCCTGTGGAAAGAGCCCACCATGGTCGAAGTGAAAAGCTTGTTCTTCCCAGCTCTTTGCTGTGTGGTTCCAATGCTTCCTTTGTTCAGGTACTGGCAGTGACTAGGGGCTCCCAGGCACTAGCCTGTCGGGAAAATACCCTGCTTTTGTTGGATTACTTGACCATCCAGGTAGTAGTTGAAACCTGATCATGAAGAAGTCAGTGAGCCTCAAAGCTGTGGTTAAGATTAGGGAAGGAAAAGAGTTTGCAGCTGTGAGCCAAGAACTAGAAGATGGTGGGAGAGAAGAAAGGAACTTTTTATTTGGGTGGTCACTAACGTAGATTAGATCATCCTCAAATGCATTTATCAAGGTGAACAGGATTAAATGCTGCAGACCTGTAATTTGTTTCGTGTGTAGACTTCCTGTGGTAGAACTAAAGTGTGAAAGAAAAGAAATAAAGAGGAAATCTATTACTGAGTGCCAGATATAGTTAGAAGGATTACTCCCTACCTTTGGCTGTTCGTTTCAATCCAGCAGCAGTTTTCTAGTGTGTCCTTTCTGTGCCTTTCCCACCTTTTGGCTTGCTTTCTGTTCTCAGCATTTGCTTGGCAGCAATTTATCTGACTCTAACCTGTGACTGCTAGAGCTCATGTTTTGACTTCCTGTATTCCATCACTTGTCAGAGAAAGGGCCAGAAAAACTCTGGTTGCAGCACAGAAGGACAAAGCTATATGTAAAAAGTTTTGAATGTAGTGTGATAAAGTGTGAAAGAACATGTTTGCCTCTAGGAAATGCAGAACTAAGGAAGCATAGTAGTTTTGAAACAAATCTTTAAAATGTCGGATATGTGTTAGAAATAGCAAACTTCCCATGTACAGAGTTAGTGTGTGATATTGGGTCTGGGGCTTAAGTTTTGTATCTGGGTGTCATCACTGATTTCTGTGGAGGGTTCCTGTTTCCCCTTAAGCTCTTACCTGTAGTCTGTGTCTAGGTCTTGATGTGGTCTGTGTACACTTGCCAAAATGCTCATCTTCTCAAAATGCTCATCTTCTGATCTTTCTGTTTTTACTGCTGTGCCAAAAACTTGTTTCTGGCTGTAATATAGTCCTGCTTTTACCCAGAATCTGTATGGGTAATTTTGCTAGTGTGTAACTTGAACTGCATCACCCTTCCCTTTGTTGCATGAGGTTCATAGAATGGATTGGGTTGGAAAGAATCTTTAAAGGTTGTCCAGTTTAACTCTCCCTGCAATGAGCAGGGGCTTCTTCAATTAGATCAGGTTGCTCAGAGCATCATCCTGGCCTTGAACCTATCCAGGGATGGGGGATCCACCACCTCTCTGGGCAACCTGTGCCCACATAGGTGCTTTAGCACTCTCATCATAGAAGTTTTCTTCCTCGTGTCTAGTCTGGGTCTACCCTTTTAGTTTAAAACTATCAGCCCTTGTCCTGTAACAGCAGGCTCTGCTAAAAAGTCTGTCCCCATCTTTCTGATAGATCACTTTAAGTATCAAAAGGCCCTTCAACTATTGCAGACTGAACAATCCCAGCTCTCTCAGCCTGTCTTCATAGGAGAGGTGCTCCAGGCCTCTCATCATCTTTGTCACCTTCCTTTGTACCCTCTTCAACTGATCAATGTCCTTATGTTGGGAGCCCAGAGCTGGATGCAGCACTCCAGTGGGGGTCTCACAAGAGGAACAGAATCACCTCTCTTGACCTGCTGGCCACGCTGGTTTTGATGCAGCCCAAGATATGCTTGGCTTTGTGGGCTGTGAGTGCCAGCTCATGTCCAACTTTGCATTCACCAGTACCTGTTCTGTGGGGTTGCTCTCAATCCCTTCATCCCTCAGCCTGTATCTATGCTAATTCTAAAATCCTTCTGCTGCTCTGACCTCTTTGCATCTTCCATAAGATGTGAGTGACTCTTAAGGACTCCTTAAGAGAGTACATTGTGCCTCTTGATAGTCTCTTGAGGTTGCTATCAGCAAGCACCTTGTCTTCTTTTAGCAAAAGTTGAAATTAACCAAAACTAGATGCTAGGTAAGCATCTGCAAATGAACACTTTTGTTTGCACCCATATTGCCTTTCAGTAGATGTAAGCATCTAGTTTTATTGTAATGCTTCCTGCAAAACCATGGCTATTTTTTTTCTTCTGACGAGTTTGACAGCTATCCATCCACCTTCCATGTGTAGAGTTTCAATATCATAGGTTTTGTTTGTTTCTTTTGTATTCCTGCCTGACTTTACATCTTTAATTGACTACACTTCTCACTTCCTGCTCCTGTTCACAGAACTTGCAGCACCCTGTACACCAGCTCCTGGCCTGTGTTGGAGCTGCCTTAAGACCTGTCAAGTGAAGTTTTGGTTGAACCTGGTTGACAGCATTGCCTGTCAGTTAAAAGTGAAATGAAGGGTTGGGGGGAGCAGAAGCTTGTGAGAAAGGTGAAGAATTCAACAAGAAAATAATTCTGAAAATTGAGCATTCAAAGGTTATAGTAAAATTATTTGTGCGTGGAATACAAAACATACATCTCATTTAAAAATAAAAAGGAATTTATGCCTTAGTTACAGTTGCTCAAGAAATAGAAGCTTTTGTTTCTGTGTTCATCTGAGAGTGAAGACAAAATTTTCACACTCCTCAGTTTTGTTTTTTTTTTTCCCCAAATTCAGGAGAGGGTGTCAATGCATTTTACGTCAAAAGAACTTTAAAGCTGACAGCTGTTGTTGTAGCCATCATTTCAGGTTTCATCGACTGACTACAAAAGAGGAATGCTTCTCTTGAAATATTGAGTGATTGACTTGTGCTGTGTTGAGTTCAACATATATTTAATGACTCCTGCAAGAGGGATTTAGGGGTATCTCCCTGCCTTGATCCATCACTCCTCAGTGATGGTCTTATGAAGCAGAGTGTGCAAGCCTGGGTGGAAAATGTCGTGTGAGGCTGAAGGGCAGCAAGTTGCTTGCCTTGGTCTTCCCTGGGCAGGAAAATGAGGGCTCAGGAGGGAGACAAAGCTGCAGAGAGACTTTGAGTTTGTGGCTAAGGTGTCCAGGAGGAGCAAACAAAATGTACAGAAGAAAGTTTGTCATTAATCACACAATTTTCTTGTAATCATTGTAATTAGTAATAGCTTTGGGAATCTTGTCAACGTTGTCTGATATGATGGTAAGAAACTTTTCTGTTCTGTCTGGAAGAATAAATCTAGTAAGCAATGACGGTATTAAAATCCAAAAATGGCTTGTAGCCAAATTTCCTTCTTATGTCATCTTGGCTTTTAACGTCCCCCATTTGCTGTGTGTGACCTCAGCTCAAACAGACCCCTGGAAATCACTGTCAAACCACGGAATGGTCTGGGTTGGAATCAACCCTAAAGATCATCAAGTTCCAACTTCCCTTGTCATGGGCTGGGAACCTTGCAGTAGATCAGCTTGCTCAATGCCCCATCCAGCCTGGCCTAGAACAGGGATGGAGTGTCCTCAGTTGCTCTGGGCAGCCTGTTCCATGAATCACCACCCTCGCAGTTT